ATATATATTTCAAACACTCATTAATAATTCATAAGCTTATTGGCAAATCATGTCAACCATAATATGTCACGTGCAGTGGCTTTAAACCTGATAAAACATGCACTCCTAATTAGTATTCTTTATATAAAGAATACTAATAAGGCAGTATCTATTGTAGTCGTGTCCTCATTAGTATTTTTTTATATAAAGAATACTAAAAAGGCAGTAAATCTATTGAATTTGTAGTCGTGTTTGAAGTCGCAGGTCGTGTTTTATTAGGTCTAAAGCCACTCGCGCTGCGCGCTCGTGGCTTTAAAGCTAATAAAACACTCCTGCTCGTTTATTAAACAGTACATATATATTATTATATATATATTATCATATTATTATACGTACTAGAAAATACATGCATGAAGAAATCCCTCGCCTTGCTGGCAAAACCATTGAATTTTCCGGAACATGAAGTATTTAAAGTAGTTGTCATGGTAACACGATAATTTGTTATGAAATTTGTTACGATTATTTGTTATGAAACGAAAAATCCCCTAAAAATCCCTGAACATATATATATATATATATATATATATATATATATATATATATATATATATATATATATATATATATATATATATATATATATATATATATATGTTGTAAAGTATTGTATTTCATTCTGTCTGAAGATGACTTTGAAATAAATTGATGACTTTTAAAAGGGATGAAATGCGCCTTAAAACCATCATTCATACTTATTTGTGGCGGAATGAAGCTTAAATACTAACTTTAATTATTTAAACATTTCGTACCTATGCTTGTTTTTCTTCGGTTTTCTAACCCTAATCTCCAAATTTTTTCAATAAATCAAAACCTTTGCAGACTACATTTTGAATAATTTGGCAGTTTTCCTCATTATAAATATTTGGTGCACGTTACCATGTACATTATACGCATGTTCAGTTCAGAAGAGCTACAATCCTGGACAAAACCATCTGCCACACTCTATTACTGAACATTCCTTTGTGGCTTTTTTACCAGATAGACCGAAATAATGTACTCGTTTGCCCCCCTGCTCCCCCAAAGCAATGTTGGACGTTTTATCAGTATTCTACGAATGCAATCAACGTTGAATGGTTGGGGAAAGGGGGAGGTTTTCTAAATTTACGATAATATTACGACATTTTGTCAAATAATTGGAAGTGTCGCAGATGTTTTGTCCAGGATTGTAGCTCATTTTAGCTCTTAGTTTGTGGTCACAATTTCTGATTGTGCGTCGTTTACTACACTATCCCACGCTGCTTTGCGCGACGTTCTTAGATTATTTAGAGTATAATTTGGCCAGGCTTGAATACGGCGTTTTAAAATTTATAATGTAAGCTTCAAGCCATTTTGGTCTAGGTGAAACAACTGCTTATCGGTGTTGCGCACGTGTCTTGAGGTTTTCACCCAGGCAATATTTTGACCAGGGATATAATTATATACCTCTATAACATATGCATGATTTTTTTGGATTGCAAATGATAAATGGTTTGTCTTAATTAGCAATAAAACAATTAACTTTTCGAATTTTACTATTCACCAGAATCTGACACAGAAAGAACATTATTTACCTCAACGACAGATCAGGCGCCAATTCCAGTTGAAGGAACTGTCACATTTGCAGTAGTTATTGTAATTGCTGAAACATTCGTGCCCGAACTGCAGAACAGGGGAAGTCAGGCTTTCAGAATTTTGAGAAGTAGATTCCTCGAATTCTTGATTCGAATATACCAAAATAGACGTGGTTTTATTGGCATAATCTTTAATTCATTTTCCCAAGGAAGTGTTGTTGCAGATATTGAAATATTATTTAATTCCACCCAACCAATTCCGACTGTTGAGGAAGTTCAATCACCAATCGCCGAAGCAAGAGATAATGGATCGGCGCCGTTTAATATTTCAAGTTTACAAGTCACGAAAAAGGGCGAGTCACAAGATGGATTCGAAACATGGAAGATTGGTGTCACTGTATGTCTTGCCTTCGTACTTCTTCTTCTTATTTTTATTTCAGCTGTGGTGAGTATTAGTTTTACTTTGGGAAGGTTAAATGCGGACAATGCACTTTTTGATAGTGCGGCCAGCATGTATGTCAACAGTAACAAGACAAAAAGGACAATACAACTAAAGAAAACATTTTGTGTGGAAGGAGGAACAAATAGGGTTTCCTTTTGTTTCAGTTTGTGCAAAACCAATCACAAAACATGTAAAAAGAAAAGGTGTAAAATTGTAATTGGTTGACAAGTATTGAAATGAACATTAAACTGCCTTTTCGAATTCCGTTCGAATATTTAGAAGATTGTCACATACAATGTGAACCAAAAAATTTGTTCCCTGACAGCAGCCCTACATGATATGAAGAGAACGCTATTTATTTCCTATTTAAATCCGTACCACACAAAACAACACCAATCGTAACACACCTTTTCATAACCCTTAGAAGTAGTCACTAGACGCAAAAATATCTTGCATGGAAAAAATATCTTGCATGGATAGAATCTCCTCCCATGATAAATCTATGTCCATGCCATTTTCGTATCCCTCCACTTTTGATATTTCGAAAACGAATGCAAATTTATTATTTAGATACTCAACTTTTCCGAAAAAATTTACTTAACTTCAGCGAAAACTCGTTTCGCAATGCATATTAGCCAATCACAAAAAGCAAAACGATTTTCTCACACGCCAGAAAAGTCCAATATTAAAAATGAGACAACGATGACATATGAATAAATTTACTCTCACGGGAGGAATATATTCCCGCCCTTTAGTTTGACTTTGTTTCTGAACATAGACCTTATATTTTCTTGCTTTTTTTTTCTTGTTTGAATGAATTGTATGCCTTATGTGGAGGATTGGAAATATACGTACGTTAACATTTACTGTTTCATAAGAACTATGATTTTATATGATTCAGTATAAATATCAGGTATTTCTTCAACAATGACGAACACATAAAAAATGGCGAGTTCAACAGCCTGTCCTACACTAACAATTGCGACTTCAATTAGCCATTCCGAAGTTGATGAATGGACTGGGGACGAGTGTTAAAAAGTGCCCAAATTACGAAATGAACCAAATCACTAAAAAGACCACCTCAAAATTAGTAAGTATACAAAGTCTAAAGACGTTTACATGAATACCCGGCCCTTCGAATAATAAGCTTTCGAAAATTGTGAAATTGACTGCTGATAAAAAGATTGTTTTTGGGACGCGCGTCGCCGAAAACAAAAATTACAATACATTTTATAGTAAATATCACGATTTTCGAAAGCTTATTATTCGAAGGGTATTTATTAATATGAACTTCTTCAAACTTTGTATACTTACTAATTTTGAGGTGGTCTTTTTAGTGATTTGATTCATTTCTTCATTTGGGTACTTTTTAACACTCGTCCTCAGTCCACTCATCAACTTCGGAATGGCTAATGGAAGAAAAAACTTGGTATCTGTATTGTATTTTTCTCGCTCATTGCATTCACTCATTCGCTTTCTAAAACCAAATTAGCGCGTGCGAAAATACCATATGCCTGCACTTTCTGTGAAGAAACGTCTATATCTACATCCACCCTCGTTTTCTGTGTCGTTTTATGAATCTTTCACTGGTGAACGATGTGTTTTCATATTTTGCAGGAATAGTATGCATTTATTTTGTCGTTACTTATGAAAGGATCTTCTAGGAAAAAAATGCTTTTTTGATTGCAGGTTATTGTTAATGGAAGCAAAGGAAAACAGGCACGATCTAACTTGAAAAATCGTAGAAATAGCTTTGACTTGGATTTTGATCTCTTTTCTTCTGATGGTGGTAAATTTAATGCTATTCCGGTAAGAATTACATGTCTTATATTCTAATTTAAAATATTTGAAAATATTTGAAAACGATAACCCTTCAGGGCTCATAGGCATCTGTTT